AAGTAAACACAACACCTTCCCACCCCTTGCAATCTTATGAAGTGTATATTGTCAGGCGAAAGTAATGTGTCGAGGAGAGATAGACTCCATCCTTGCACCAGAAAACCACACACGATGCCGTCCTCCTCCTCCTCCTCCCCCTCTTTCACCGTAGCGACCAGACAGAGCGATACCGCAGATTTACTCGAACTGTCACGAGGGATTGACGGTCGAGCGTCCCTTCCGTAGCACGGACGTTCGACAATTGGCGTGGTTGACTGTTCACAACGTACTAGCTAAGTAGTGATGGTTCATACAGGTCGAAGTTTAAAAGAAGTGGGAAGCAAGTAACTGCTCCGATTGCTTGCAGCTTCATGTTGGTTTGGGGAGATGGGGTGGAGGAGAGGAGCGGGCGGAAGGGACCACTGAAGGCTGCGTTAATTACACTTTCGTAGGACAGCACCGTCTTCGTGTCTCCTCTGCAGGTCTCATAATTTCTACTGTGCGTTGGCGGGGATAATTATGGCCTAATATTTTGATTTTTTCCCACTTTTAGGAAAGGCTTAGGTTCTTACATGCATTGTAGCACCTATAGTCAGGAACACGTATGTCTGTACAGTCTGTAAAAATTACCTGCTGTGAATTTAAACAAACAAAGAGCTTATCAAAAACAATTGCTAAGTAGTAAAAACTACAAAAGGTCAGTGTATTTAACTGCTAGCAAAAGTTATAAAAGGTCATGCAGTTATCTGATCACCGTAAGACATCGGAGGTTTCAAATATGGTTCCAATTGCTGTTTAATTTGAGCGAAGTTGTGTTCGAGCTCGCGCTGGTACTCCTTCTGGTCTGGACCAATTAATTGACGGTTCATTCGCACTCCCTCTTGGGATCTAATGGGAAGAAAGTTATAATGCTGTCCTTTGACGACTTCAATAATGCCTGCAATCGACTGCGTGGTTGTTCAATAATTAGAATGCCATTATCAATGAGCATACATCCATTGATGCTGGCTGGAAGCGAAGATTATGGACTGTGCACATGAAACCCGAATTTTCATTGCCTATGGTTAACGGGACCTGATGGCTCCCAAGGCAGAAGTACTACTTCCTTCACATCTGATACATTAAGATCTGAACAAGCTCTACGAAGCCGATTGGACTATAGGGAGGCATCAATATAGGCGACTTGATTGCATAGCTTGGTGCAGTCTACTCGAATGACTACTGGAGCGATAACGATTGAGAGTGTAAGTTGAGTTAAAACAGCCAATTTACTTGCGCAGAAACTCTTTCAAACAGAGACGGAGTTCATTTCTCTGTTCAGCGTTCGATTCTGCCGCTATAGTGGAAGTGTTTTCATTTGAAGCTGGCAAAGAATGGGAGTTCTGTTTAGTCAAGAAGGTAGCAGCAACTTCCAGGGGTCCTTGATTCACGGTTGTACTCACGCAGCCCTAAAATAGGGTCATGCCATTCTAGAGCCGTAACTTTTGCTTAATAATTGCATTTAAATGATTTCAAAATTCTCCGACCCATTCCGAGCTGCGTAGTTTGATTGAATGCTCCACTGGTTCCGCCTTCAATTTCCTATAGGACAATTAATCGTTCCAATAATCAAATCATGAAAAAATAGACCACACAGATGACTGCACTATTAGTCTTCCTAGTCTTAAGCCACTGACTTCGAGGTTCTAGAACCAACTGGTTAATTTGCTAGATGTTTGACTCTTCAGACCGCCAATGCCCTTTGGAATAGATAAAATGGTATGAAGACGTATTAATTACTACTGAAACATTATTTGGCTGCATGAAGTAGCTAGAAATGCATATGAAAAATATTTTAAGTTCAAAGCAGTAGTATGGGGTAATGTTTGGATTTTGCAGCTGGCACCAGGGTCTTAAAAAACCAACCAATAAGCTCCAACTGTTTCGATTGGTCCATTGAGGCAATTGATGCTCAGGAACCGAAAAGACTAAGGTTACTTGGATCAGAAATACTCAGAAACCACTTTCAGTTTTCATGCTCGATTCCGTGGACTAGGTCCATATTGCATGGACGTTCCTAAAAACCTTTTCTGAACAAATCAGTGCTACTGATATATAATGGGTAGTTAAAGGAGCAAACAAAGAAAGTTCTGACTCATTTTGAGTTACAGCTTACCTGAAGAATCAATTGAAGGAACTTAGCATCCGGAGGATCCATACAAAGTGCCAAAGCTAGTTGCTGATTCCGCTTTGCTACGTCTTCAATGGCAACGTCTATGGGGTGAAGGACTAACTCTTTGTGATCAATGATCGGGAGCCGAAGATTCAAGTAGGGGAAACATCTCGATGTGGTTAGAATCACCTTCCTTTTGCACTGTTCTGAAATACTGCCATGTGCAGGACCCGCCTGTGTGAATGGCGTTACCATCACGAAGCGTTCTTAAGTTAAGACGACCAACAAATAGCTTCGATGGATGGAGCAGGCGAATCGCCTGATAAAATAATCAACGGTGTTGCATTCACTTACTGATTCCATAATTCCTTTCTGACTCCAATTTCCGTTTTCGAAGTTCGAACTCCTCAAAGAAGGGTTCAACATACGTTATCTGCAAGTAGGCCTAAAGAAACCCATCAGAAAGTTATAAATTGTGTAAAGAAGCATGATTTTAAATAAATAGGATGCGTCGAATTTACAGTGCTCTCATCGAGATTTGCCACAATAATTCGACCGGAACTCTTAATTATCTCAACTCGTTTGCCACCAAGTTGACGCGAGTAAAACTCCTGCAGACGAGTGGTAATCTCAGCCAACTTGGTCAGTGGAGCCTCCTTATAGATAAACTCCTTGCCATTCTGGTCATCAAACAGAGAGCCATAAAATCCAACCCGAAAATATGTACTGAAGAGGCGATGAGTTCTCTAACGGAGAGAGGAATGAAAAAGTGAGAACAGAAAAGTTCAACCACAAACAAGAAACAAGTCTAAATTGGTGGATGACTCTTATAAATAAATGCTTTAAAGCCTTCAATTCTTGTTGAAGTCATTTGTGTATTACTCTCTACCTTCCCCACACCATATTAGCTTTTAGAAGAGCATATGCTAGTCGAACGAACACACTAGTAGTGTCAGATATTTGAAAACAGTTATGACCCCTTGCGCTGCGAGTAATTTACAAATGGTTGAGGAGTCAAAATGCTGCGTTATTCCAGGCCCGATGCCCACATATCTGTGTCTCAGTCTTCTCCGCCTTCACACAGCATCGACTATTAAAAGATCGGCGGCGTAGAAAGAGTCGATTTCCTTGAAAGGAAGGTCAGATTGTTACAGTTAAAACTACCTTCCTGTGAGGCAGGCGATTCACCATACTTTTTGCCTGCATAACAAGTTGAAGGGAAATGGGTCCCCATATGATCGGTTCCCCACCTAAATTCGAACTATTTTTGCTCTCTGTCACATTTAAACACTGAAGGCGATGAGAAAAGTTGGTATCATTGAAGCTAACACGTCTAAAGGTAGTGAAGACCAAGAACTTGTTATGTTAAACAGAGACAAACTTCTTTAAATATCCTGTTCAATGACCCTATTGTCAAATTTAAATTATTTTCAATCAGACGTACTACCTCTAGGGACTCCAACTACGAGCATTACCATTTCTTTCGCGTCTAGACCATCCTGTGAGTTCCCTCCAACATAAAGTCAGGGAAGGGTTGCCACCAGACTAAACAGATGGAATAGGGAAGAAGAAGAAAAGAATGAGAAGGACAACCACAACTTCAAGCCCTAATTTGCGTCGCATAGGGCAAAGAGACATAGTTCTCGATTGTATGTTCCCACCTCCACACACAATATATCTATGACTTCAAGTAGATGAATGAAGTAGTGTTTGAGAAATGTAGGTTGAACCGGAATGTGGTGATGCAGAGAGAGGTAGTGCAAGTGGATTGTTTGAGCAGTACCGCTAATCTGTCAATTAATCAAAGCCCTAAAAACTCACAACAGGTTCGTATTCAGCAGCATGTGAGGTCCGGATAAGTTTGTGCACTTGATGGAGGTATTCCTGCTCTCCACTGGAGTACAAAATTGGTAGAACCCAGTAACAAATTAATGGAATCTGTTCGAATTGGTTAGCCTCGTGTAAGCACTTAGCGATTATTTCAATCAACCCGTAAAAGCGCTTCACAACGACGCTTGCAGAGGTCCTCTCCAGAGGTCGTTCAGCAGTGAGTGGGAGAGGAATTGTGGCTGGAAGTCCAACGGCCAGTTCTAGGGCTGACTCTTCCAGAAGGTTCGGAGATCCCAATTGACGCGCCATAAGATCAGCTCCCTCACTCAGGACGGTGAAGAGAGAAGAGCTCTTTCTGCTCACCATCTGTTCTACGTCGATTGCGAGGGTGTGAAGTAGGGCCTGAGCTGCCTCCGCAGGCTGCTTAAACTAGGCACAGATTTGCAAATTAACAGGAGCAAAACGGGGAGAGAATGAACTTAGACTGGGATCATGCAATATAAGGGTCAAAGCTTGGGCAGGAATAGAACTGCGAAAGTGTTCCCTTTAGATGCCATAGCCGAAACTCTCGATCCACGGTGAACAGAGTAGATGTGGTGTCAGAAAACCAGACTTACAAATAGATGAACCTCTGCAAGACGTAAAAGCCAGTACTGCCTGAGCTCGGGAAGCAGACGGCAGGCAGATGCCAAGTCAACGAGCAGCTCGACCACAGAAATTTGGTCATCCTTTTCCACAATCTGGGAACCGACATGGCATCGTTGGAGATAGTTAAAACGAAGGAGGCAAGCCAAGATACCCTTTTAAATTGGAAAGCGCAGAAAATGTAGGGGTAAATTCTTCACAACCGCTAAATATAATTCAGCTCTCCTCTTTTATGTTGCCTTTTGAAAGTCCTTTTGCGATTTAAGTAAAGAAGTCACCTTCACGGTCCTCCTTGATCAGTAGACTGCATTGTAAAAAACAATCATCCACCATTTAATGATTGCAACCAAATCCGAAGGTGGAGCGACATAAATATCATTTCTAAGACCTTTTCTCCTAAGAAGACTTCTGCGTCACCAATTTTTTCCTACATAAAAACGATCTCTAAATCCTAATCTTAAATTAACTCGATGTACAAATTTGGCAGATTATGCATAGTTTTTGATAGCAAATCTTAAAAAAGGGACTCCGAACAAAATCTAAAGCAACGCTCTTACGTGTAAAATACCCACAGTTGCATTAAGTTGTGTTTGAAATTCTGCATCAGGTGCATGGACACTTATAAGTCCCATCACAAAATGCAGTCCACTGAATGACACACTTCCGATGTTTCCATTGTTTTCTAAATTCCCTCTCCCGTTTAAATTTGCCCCCGCGTATTCTTTAAGGGTTTGAAAGCAATCCGGAAGATGAGCGCTAGCCAATAGGATACGAATATCAGGAGGAGCAAGAGTGGGAAACAGCGGGTCGCCTTCATGACTGCTCTGGATCCTGCGATCGTAGACAAGGTGTGTGAGAAGCTGGTGCCAGTAGAGGTTAGTAGGAGCTTCAGCAAGGTAGGAGAGACAATCGGTCACAACCCCTAAGCGTCGGGCGAACCATGAGAAGGACGATGATGTGTCAAGAATGAGGTCGTTAGCTGCTATGTGGGCGTGTAGAGCCAGAGCCATTTGGCTATTCACAGGATAAAGGTGCTAAACGTAACAAAATTAACGTATCCAGCTAAGTGGTCTGATCTAATCGAATCTATTCAAGGTAACATTTAGATTTTTGCTTCCAAAAAACGTCTCAATGCAGATTTCTTTAAAGTAAAAACTTAGTACCTCCTCTTCCAATCGGCTAGTTGATGAAAATTTAAGCCTACACAGATACGTAGCACTAAGATGTAGCTTGAGTAGTAATGAGTGGACGAGAGACCTTATCACAACGAAGTTACTTGTCGAATTCGTCCATTTTTACACTACTCCACCTTTAGATCAGAATTCTTATGTCCACCGGTTGATAAATGCGATGCCCTGCACAGTTCTCCTTAAAAGTACAGTTTCTAAATTGGACCAAACTTCGAGTCTATCGCTTTCGCCGAAAGGGTTGAATGGTGATGTGGTAAAAGTCTTCGTAGATGTCTGTGAGTTTCAATGGGAAGCGCGATTGACTCAAGAGCGGTTGATTGAGCGGAAGACCTGAGAAGACGCTCAAGAGAGAAGAAAGACTATGCAATTTTAGTGTTGTCGCTTCATTCTGGAGTCGCAATCACGCAAATCTCTGCCAACATGATCTTTGAACTATGCCAGCAGCTCCTCAGGCCTCCCATCTGTCAGCAAAAGCTTGTCTCTTAAATAAGACCTCAAGAAGTTAGAAATAACTCGGAGTATCAAAATCCAATAAGGTTCTAAGAATTCGATCAAATGCCATGCCACAAGAATAATAACTTTAATGGTGTCTGGAAATAATAGTTGCCTTAAAGTTTTATTCATTGTTGTCGTGTACTCGCGACTTAGCATCCTCTCCGTGTCCCATCTAATGTGAATAAGCTAAAGGATTCAAACGAGAAATGAAAGGAAAGGTAAACCTTTTTGTCCCCTCCCCCTTTCACCTTTGAGTGTAACAGTGAGCACTGTATTTCCATCGGCGTAATTAAGAGACAGCATTCAGCAGAAGTGCTACTTACGTTGCGAACTCGGTGACACTCCTGGAAGAGGTGAAATACGGTAGCATTGGCAATTGTTCGAATCTTTTTCAGTGGAGACGCACAATGAGGCAGTAAGACTCGAAAAAGCACAAATTGTGTAACCGGCGATCCCTCCAAAAAGTACCGTGGGAACTGAAATACAACACGCACTAGAGCATCTATTTAAGCAACAGATAACATTTTCAAGAAATTTCGACGATTGAAGAATTGATACTGGAACGTGGGAGGTAGGTAAGATAACTCATCAAAATAGGGAGATTTGGTTTGCTGGAGGTCTGATATGCTCTTTCCAACAGTCGACTGTGAAGTTGTTCTCGCTTTTTTAAGCGGAAGGGTGATGACTTCATACAAACGCCTCTCAAAACGTCTCTGTTTCGTGAGAAAAGCGCCTATTAAACGCAACTGGGAAAAAAACAAATTGTGAAGCTGAAACCATTGTAATGAGTACATCATCTCTTGACATTCTTCGGAATGCTTTACACAGTGCTGAATCAAGAGAAAGAAAGAGATCCTTCCTCCAAGTGCAGAACAACACTGGCAATGATAAAGAAGACCTATCTAAGCTATGAGGTGATGGAAAGCGTACTGCTGCAAGAACTCACCTTGGAGATCAATTGGGATACGCCACAAGAAAGAAGTTGAAATGTTTTGGAGCAGTGAGACATGCTGAGGCCAAAGATGTAAGCTCTAGCGATACTGAGAATGAGGTGAGAAGATATAATCTCGTTGTCACGCTCCTCCTCTGCCACGTGGCTACCTGAAAGGGGTCGAGAAAATGCCTTACAAAAGAGTTATGAGAAGGAAATTCAAATTGCCTTACACTGGTGAGAAGATCTAGGGTTTTGCACGTAACCGAGGTGGCAAACAGAAAGAGAAATTTTGCCTGCACACGAGATGTGATAGACGATGTGCTAGTGGCGTGGAATCTGAGATTGCCCCATTTATTCAACGAAAGGACCGCCGAAACATCGAGTTTTCGAATATCTAGAAAAAAAATCACTGTTAAGCAGAAAAGCTAATGTACCTACTTAAAAAATCTTGCAAGTTAAAACACGTGTCTAATCTAAAAATGCGTGGTAAATAGGAGTACTTAGGTTTCTGTTGAGCAGAACAGCGTCTGAGTCTGAGTCGAAAAGTACGACGGAAATATAAAACCGGTTATAGGATACATTGGAAGGCTACAGCAGTGCCAACGGAAAGTGACCCCAATCCTAGACGACATCTACACCGCCTTCTCCCGCCCACCGCCATCCCTCAACATGGCGGGAGAGTACCATACACTGATAATGCACAGATGTGACAGCCCATCAAAAGGACTGAAACTGACGCCTACCCTCCACACCCACCTCACCTCCGAAGTCCCGGAAACGCTGCTGATTACTAACTGTGAATCGTCAATATAAGCTCAAGTAAGTAAACACAACACCTTCCCACCCCTTGCAATCTTATGAAGTGTATATTGTCAGGCGAAAGCAATGTGTCGAGGAGAGATAGACTCCATCCTTGTACCAGAAAACCACACACGATGCCGTCCTTCAACCCAAACGAGTGTTGGCCTCCTCCTCCTCCCCCTCTTTCACCGTAGCGACCAGACAGAGCGATACCGCAGATTTACTCGAACTGTCACGAGGGATTGACGGTCGAGCGTCCCTTCCGTAGCACGGACGTTCGACAATTGGCGTGGTTGACTGTTCACAACGTACTAGCTAAGTAGTGATGGTTCATACAGGTCGAAGTTTAAAAGAAGTGGGAAGCAAGTAACTGCTCCGATTGCTTGCAGCTTCATGTTGGTTTGGGGAGATGGGGTGGAGGAGAGGAGCGGGCGGAAGGGACCACTGAAGGCTGCGTTAATTACACTTTCGTAGGACAGCACCGTCTTCGTGTCTCCTCTGCAGGTCTCATAATTTCTACTGTATACCTCAAAGTACATATTCCACCATAATGTTGTGCCTTATATAGTTGTAATAACATGAAAGACCCGTTGAGGCACAATGGTTCTATTGCGACTGTGCCATGCGTGTAAGTTGTGTTGAAAGCATCACAAACCTTTTGTGCATTCGTCCATGGATTGGGATGGAAACTCATTGCTGCCCTAAACGTTAAAAAAACTGTGATTTTGTGTGTTTTAAACTCAAGCTACCTTAGTTACGTACTTGTGAAAGCCTTTAAGACAATATTCCGATATTACTGGTCAAATACTTGCCAAGAATCTAGATGTTTAAAAAAAGTACTGACAAACAGGCAAACGAATGAAATTCTTCTACATCGATCAGAGCGTAAGTTTTTACATACCAGATACTCAAAGTAATTAAGAGCAAGAATGAGCAGATCAACAAGTTTGTGCGCCTGTTCTGTAGATCCGTTAACGAGCCACTGTAAAATGATCTGCTGGTCAGCATAATGAAGGATCCAAAGCGCCTCCAAAAGAAGCAGCCTGGTGACACAGTCATTGAAGACACTCATTGTTTCGCTGGGCATAGAGGAAGGAATCGGTGGGAGAAGAGCGTTGATCCATGTTTTCGTCGAGGTGAGAGAAGCGGTGTACAGCTGTTGTGATGGGATTGATAGTGCACAGAATGGATGGTGCTCCACTGATCCTTTACGATTCGAAGTTAACGAGAAACGGCGACCCATCTATGGATGAAGGTCAATATCCCATGTGTGGAAACATTAGTTGTTTTAAGTAGGCTTACCCATCTGACTCGTTCCTTGTCAACCATAGACGATAAAACCCACCCAGATCGTTTCGAAGCGCCATCGTTTGAGATACGGTGAGCACCAAGAAGCATAGACACTTTTGCTACTTCTCTAAATACCCTTTCCTGTTTCTCCAAGGCACTGATCCAACTGGCATACATGGCGGAGACATGGCCACAAGCAATGTCCAAAAGTGGGATGTAAAGTGCGGCCGCATCGCAAATACTGAGAGATGCTCTCTCTGTCTGGTATGCACAGGAGTGAGATTCATGACTTTTCATGAGATACCAGAGAGTATTTAGGGCGTTTGTTTGTGCAAGAGAATCTCTGGAAGAGAAAAACTATAAGCAGTTTGTATTTTGAGAGGTAAAAACCACTGCAAGCAAGGTTCAAAAACAATTTTTATTAGTTTAAAACAGGCACATATGGTTTAGTTAACTTTACACAAATGTGTAATATTAATAGGCTATTAGCAAAATCATAAAAAGGCCTAAAAATAGGTCAACCTTACGAATGCAAGAGGCAGTTTTGAATTTCTCCAAGTAACACCGCTGGCAGAAAATGGAGCCTTTGATAAGTAGGACCAGTGAGCGTTTTGCCTTCGTGCTTTGCTACGGTGAAGTAAGGAGGCTGGTTTATTGGATGCACAGCACTAGGTAGGAGATTTGGATCGGGTAGACTCAAAAGCAGATAATCTGGTGATGCTGTGACAATTTGAAGCAGTTCCAGTTTTAGCAATTCCAGATTTTGAACCATCCTGTTTCGCGAGGGCTCTGCTAGCTGTTCTCTTGAGTTCCCAGTGCTGATCGCTAGTAGTTCTTCAATGAA